TTCAATTCAAACTATAAGCATTTCAAGGAATTCAAAAACTTTAATGTTTGAAGTAGGTATTAAACCAATGAGCAAAATTGAATATTCTTGAAATTTATGACTAAGACTTCACAGTCAAAATTGAAGACTTTCGAAAAGGATTTTGAAGAAACTGAAGTACAAAGTTATTATTGATTTTAAAGAATGTTCGTTTACTTTTATACCAAAATTACAATTTATTCAAAAACAGTTATAATCTTGTAAACAGACAGACTCCATTATGCATAAATTAATTCAAAATTCCTATATTGATAATGAAGGTGCGTCAAAATCACAAACCGTTAATGGTAAATTGATTTTTTTATACGGTTTTGCTTGACGATTAATTCCTTAAAATGACTTTTTTTTTTAAATTCCATGGTGACTTATTGTGTGGGAATTTCAAGGGAATATTTTATAAAATAGATTAGATTTAGCTTTCTACTAAAACTTAAAAATTCTATATTGATGTGCTGCACTTAAGATAAATATCTTCTCTGGAAACATTACAAAGAATTCTAGTTATTAATGGCTTTTAGAAACCATTCTTGTACTCGAATAAAGATAACCAGCCACTTCAGTCCGTCAATTTTAATAGCTGTATTATGGTGTGTTATATATGCACTTTAAGACATCCGTGTTTTATAGACATTTTGAATTTGATTGATTTTTTAAAATATTTCGATTATAGAAGACTTTTTGAAACAACTGAAAAACGTTCTGAAGCCAGAATAGTAAAGGAACAACAATATTTGAAGCAGTGATGCCAGGTCTGGTGAAATTTCACCAGATCTGGTTATTTTATGAAAAATCTGGTGATTGGTGAAAAACTTTTTGAAAAATGGCAATTTCTGGTGATTTTGAAATTTCATAAATTTTAAATATTTTTAACAATGGCATACACTTTATAAACATCCCTCGTAATGTATTAAAATTTTACTTCATTATACAAATTTCATTTGTTTGACAGAAAACCAAATACCCATAAGTGGTGTGTGAGGTCCTTTAATTTTTATATAAATTTGTATTTGTTCTTTTGATATACCTATTTATATATGTTTCCCTTTCTATATTTCAATTTCTGTTTATTCCAGGCTCTTGTTGCTATTGGCCGGTTATTTTTCAAGTTGGCAACATGTATTTTGTTTGGCCAGTGGCGTTGCTTATGGATTTCAGTCAAACCAATCGAAAATTCTAAATTTTTATTTTTCATATTTTCAAAATTTTGACTTTTCCAATTGATTTAGCGGTTTTAAATTAATCGAAAAAAATTCTAACATCACTTTCAAAATGGCGAATTCAAAAAGCTAAAAAATCACAATTTTCGTTCTGGAATTTTTTTAAAATCTTGACAAAGTTAGGAATAATGGCCAATTTCTTCAAAGAAATTTGAACAAATCAAAACAAATTATATATGGTTGGAAAGAGCATCAAATTCTCTATAAATCAGTGCTAGATTGAGTTTAATAACCTGAATACTTTTAGAGCAATTCAGCTTCAAAGTTGGATTTTAGTTAAAATTTAGTCAAAAACTTCAAACTCGATTTTCTCAAAAACCGGTAAATGCCAGCGACTCCAACTAACTACCATTTCAAAGCTCTCATCAAGGGCTACAATTCTAAAAAAAATTGATCCAAAATCTTCCACGGGTTTAGAGAAAATTGAATTTGAAAATTTTGAAATTAAAATCCAAAGGGGTTAGACCCTTTGAAAAAATCAAAATTTTTATTTTTCAGATTTTTTGAATTTTGACTTTTCCAATCGATAGAGCGGATCTAAATTAGTCGAAAAAAACTCTGACTCCATTCCAAATCTCGATTTCAAAAGAGAAAAAAAATCAAAAAGAAAATCTCAATTTTCAGGTTTAAATTTTTTTTAAATCCTAACAAAGTTAGGAGCAATTGCCAATACTTCCATTAAATTTTGAGTAAATCAAAATAAATTATATATGGTTGGAAAGAGCATCAAATTCTCTATAAATCAGTGCTAAATTGAGTTTGATAACGTGAATACTTCTAGAGCAATTGAGCCTCAAAGTTGGATTTTAGTTAAAATATAGTCAAAAACTTCAAACTCGATTTTCTCAAAAACCGTAAATGTCAGCGACTTCAACTAAGTACCATTCCAAAGCTCTCATTAAGGGCTACAATCCTAAAAAAAATGGACCTAAAATCTTCCACGGGTTTAGAGAAAATTGAATTTGAAAATTTTGAAATTAAAATCCAAAGGGGTTAGACCCTTTGAAAAAATCAAAATTTTTATTTTTCAGATTTTTTGAATTTTGACTTTTCCAATCGATAGAGCGGATCTAAATTAGTCGAAAAAAACTCTGACTCCATTCCAAATCTCGATTTCAAAAGAGAAAAAAAATCAAAAAGAAAATCTCAATTTTCAGGTTTAAATTTTTTTTAAATCCTAACAAAGTTAGGAGCAATTGCCAATACTTCTATTAAATTTTGAGTAAATCAAAATAAATTATATATGGTTGGAAAGAGCATCAAATTCTCTATAAATCAGTGCTAAATTGAGTTTGATAACGTGAATACTTCTAGAGCAATTGAGCCTCAAAGTTGGATTTTAGTTAAAATATAGTCAAAAACTTCAAACTCGATTTTCTCAAAAACCGTAAATGTCAGCGACTTCAACTAAGTACCATTCCAAAGCTCTCATTAAGGGCTACAATCCTAAAAAAAATGGACCTAAAATCTTCCACGGGTTTAGAGAAAATTGAATTTGAAAATTTTGAAATTAAAATCCAAAGGGGTTAGACCCTTTGAAAAAATCAAAATTTTTATTTTTCAGATTTTTTGAATTTTGACTTTTCCAATCGATAGAGCGGATCTAAATTAGTCGAAAAAAACTCTGACTCCATTCCAAATCTCGATTTCAAAAGAGAAAAAAAATCAAAAAGAAAATCTCAATTTTCAGGTTTAAATTTTTTTTAAATCCTAACAAAGTTAGGAGCAATTGCCCATACTTCCATTAAATTTTGAGTAAATCAAAATAAATTATATATGGTTGGAAAGAGCATCAAATTCTCTATAAATCAGTGCTAAATTGAGTTTGATAACGTGAATACTTCTAGAGCAATTGAGCCTCAAAGTTGGATTTTAGTTAAAATATAGTCAAAAACTTCAAACTCGATTTTCTCAAAAACCGTAAATGTCAGCGACTTCAACTAAGTACCATTCCAAACCTCTCATTAAGGGCTACAATCCTAAAAAAAATTGATCCAAAATCTTTGACGGGCTTCGAAAAAATTGAGTTTGAAAATTTTGAAATTAAAATCCAAAGGGGTTTCACCCTTTGAAAAAATCGAAATTTTTATTTTTCAGATTTTTTGAATTTTGACTTTTCCAATCGATAGAGCGGATCTAAATTAGTCGAAAAAAACTCTAACTTCATTTTCAAATTTCGATTTCAAAAGGGAAAAAAAAATCAAAAAGAAAATCTTAATTTTCAGATCTAAATTTTTTTTAAATTCTGACAAGGTTAGGAGCACTTGCCAATACTTCCATTAAATTTTGAGCAAATCAAATTAAGTTATATATGGTTGGAAAGGGCATCAAATTCTCTATAAATCAGTGCTAGATTGAGTTTGATAACGTGAATACTTTTAGAGCAATTGAGCCTCAAAGTTGGATTTTAGTTAAAATTTAGTCAAAAACTTCAAACTCGATTTTCTCAGAAACCGTAAATGCCAGGGACTTCAACTAAGCACCATTTCAAAGCTCCCATCAAGGGCTACAATCTTAAAAAAAAATGGATCCAAAATTTTTCACGGGTTTCGAGAGAATTGAGTTTGAAAATTTTGAAATTAAAATCCAAAGGGATTTGAAAAAATCGAGATTTTTATTTTTCAGATTTTTTGAATTTTGACTTTTCCAATCGATAGAGCGGATCTAAATTAGTCGAAAAAAACTCTGACTCCATTCCAAATCTCGATTTCAAAAGAGAAAAAAAATCAAAAAGAAAATCTCAATTTTCAGGTTTAAATTTTTTTTAAATCCTAACAAAGTTAGGAGCAATTGCCAATATTTCCTTTGAAGTTTAAGCAAATCAAAACAAATTATACATTGTTGGAAAGAGCATTAAATTTTCTATGAAGCATTGTAAGATTGAGCTCCATAGCTCAAATACTTTCCGAGCAATTACACCTCAAAGTTGAATTTTAGTCGAAAAAGTATCAAAAACTTCAAACTAAATTCTTTCGAAAACCGTAAATGCCAACGACTTCAACCAAGTACCATTTTAAAGCCCTCATCAAGGGCTACAATCTCAATATTTGTTATAAGTTGTAGTTGGCAACACTGTTTGACAAGGGACAAAGTAGGCATTGCAAAATTTTAAAATTTAAATATGGCGTCCTCTAAAACCGACATTGCAATACATACATGTTTCCAAAGCCTACTTGGTTTGATATAAGCCCGTAACGCGAGAATTTTCCTGAAAAATCAACTTTCAAGATTTCTGGTGTTTTTTTTTTTTTTAAATTTGGTGATTTTTCATTTCAATTTCTGGTGAATTTAATTTTTTTGACCTGGCAACAGTGATTTGAAGTTTTACATTTTTTAGGGTCAATAAACATTCATGAATTTGAATTCATAAAATCCTAATTTTTGAAAGAATATTTCTAAGCTTCTACAGTAAAATCCAATCTACGGAAATACCTTGTGACTCTACACTAACATTTTAGACATACAAAAGCCAGGCGAAAACATCTTCTTCTTCTACTGTAGATAAATTATTGTAAAAAGACACTTTTGAAAATAAAAGAAAATCTTTCATTCGCAATAAATCCTAAAAAAAAAGTGCATATATACATATATAAACCTTTTAAAAAACACTTCAATTATTTTTGAACCCAATAAGAGAGTCTATTTTAGAAAAAATACAAAAAGACAAACATCTTTGTGCCTAATTTTATTGTGAAAAGAATCCTAATTAAAACAATTCAAAAAAAAAACAAGCATAAAACTTACATGTTAATAAGAGAACTTTTAAAAAAGAAAAACACACAAGCGTATATAATGAACGTTCCTTGAATGCGTACCGCAGGAAACTGACTGGTGAACTGTAGATCAGCGAGCCTTAAGGCGCCTTAAAAGTACTACTTAACATTGAAGAACTTGTAAGACGAAACCTACGTGAGTCTGCAGAATGCGAGACGGAAAATGCATTTTATTTTTTAAAACAAGGTCTCGGCGACAGATTAATGCCTCGCCACAGGGAGAATTTAAATACGAGAATGAGAGGTTTAATTTGGGAATTTATCGCTGGTACTTTCACCTCACATCTTAAATGAAGTTCAACCTACATCAGTCTTTATAATGTAATTAAGAATATTTAGGGCCAATTTGAAAAGACAAATTAATAATTCACTTCACTCACACATTCTAAGCGAATAATCCATTTAGTAAGAAGGTACCTTATGATTTAGATTTTGGAAAACTTTGAAAAGTTATAACTTTTTTTCTATCAAAGATAGAAAACTGAAATTTTCAGCGATTCTTTTCCCAGTAGAAGACTACAATCCCTGAAAATTTCAGCTCATTTGCACTTATAGTTCCTGAGATAAAATCGTGTTAAGCAATTTGGGGTGATTTATCAATTTTTCAATGTTTTTGAGTGCCTTTTTTCATAGATTTCGGCTTCAAATCTGAGAATAATTTAGTATATGGAGTTTAGGGGAACCCAAATGACCATTGAGACACAAAATCTCAACGAAAAAAAATTTAAAATTTCATCCATTTAGTGAGAAGGTACCTACAGTGTTGCCAGGTCTCACGATTATTCGTAAGATTACACGATTTTGGTCAGAATTTCACGATCTCACGAATGAGGTAGCAATTCTTACGAATTCCCTCTGTAGTAATACAAATCAGTAATCAAATATAATGTAATCGGAAATAATCGAAATAAAAATCTACGATACAATCTTGACAGATAAACCATTGATTAAGCGTCATAATTTGACAACCAATTGGTCTTAACTGACGTTAAATGCATTGCTCAACTGTCAAGATTACCGACCCGTCAATCGCTTAAAATTGGCTAATCAACAGGCTTTGTATCCCAAAATGGCGGCGTGCGGAGATAAGCTGGGCGTTAATGGCCGTTTCCACCAACTATTTTAGGGGAGCCTTAACAATAAGTATTCCTTAAAATGACAGTTTTCCATGGAGAAATGTCAGTTCAGGAAATACTTATCGTTAAGACTCTCCTAAATTAGTTGGTGGAAACGGCCATAAATCTCATTGTTCTGCCATTTAAAAATAGGCTGTATCCTAGAGGTGGTAAACTATCGATAGTAATTATCGATATATCGATAGTTTGCTACACTATCGAACTATCGATAGTTCTACTTGGACAATCGATAGCAGTCCTCCTGCCGTTTCTCATGTCAGCGATGTCAAGTGTCAAGAAATATCATTTACATTTCATCTTTCATCAAGGCTCTTGAAGTTAATAAGTTGTCTGGTAATGGGTAATTTGATGATGTCATCTGTTCTGAGGTGTCTAGAGGATTTGGAATTGTTGAGACACCCCAGATGACGCCATAAAAGTACAGGCAACCTATCTCTCTCAAACAACCTTGAGGTTTCCTCATATTTATGATTGTTTTTTATTTTGGTTCTGATGGTATGGTACTATGGTAGTTGAAAGTTGAAATCAAAATTAAAAACGATGAAGATGAGTTATGTTTTCAGTTATCATCAGTTAACAACAACAACCTCCACAACTCAACTACACTTTATTTCAGTTCATATTGGTGCTTATTTCTGTTTTTTACTTTCAGTTTAAAGAAAAAAGAACGTGTGTAAATTAACATTGTTATTCACGACGGGCGAAATTTGATCGTTGCGCCATCTAAGACTAGGATTCAGCACTAAACAGCACTTTTGCTGTAAAAGTACTGACCGTCTAATAGGCCGACTAATTGACCTTTTGTTTGGACGCCATATTGCGGTGCGCGAACATAGTTGCCAAAAGAAGAAAACAAAATTTACTAGCGGGCTGTCAACATTAAAAACAAAAGTATTTCTATTCTGCCCAATACAAGCTAAAATTGATGGCTTTTCTTTTCAAAAACATTCGTAATAGGCGGCAAATTTTAATTTTAAATGTAATTTATTCAGTATATTTAGTTTTTAATGTTGACAGTACAGTAGTAATTTATTTTTTTCTACTGTTGGCTACTATGTTCGCGCACCGCAATATGGCGTCCAAACAAAAGGTCAATTAGATGCTTATTGTTGAAACCCCAAATATTAAATGGGTCTAAAACGTAAACCCTTTTTTTTATCGATAGTTATATCGATACATCGATAGTTTTTATTCGTTACTATCGATATATCGATAGTTAGATTCTTCGATAGTTTCCCACCTCTACTGTATCCTCGAATAGCGGCGTGCGCAGAAGAGATGCGCGTGAGATTTAACCTCTGCTGCTTGTCTTTCTAACGGAGATTATAGAGCTGAAAGTCTGCGAAGTCCATGAGAATCCACTATTTGTGACGTCAGCTGCAGACGTCAACTCTTGGAAGAAAATGCATTATCCTAGTCCAAAAAACGAATTCATAAACGTTAAAATCGCCTTCTCTTAATTTAAAATTCCCAAAAAAATTAACGCACAAGCACAGCCTGAATCGCAAGCAATCCATCGAAGTCTGCGGGTGACGTTACCACTATCAGTTGCTGATAGTGGTGACGTCACTCGCAGACCAGCTGCCGACTCGAGAATTGGCGAATGTACGCCTTTTTAGGATAAGCAATCCTGAGGATAATGAAAACAACGTTCACCCCTCAGAAACACCTGCTAAAAAACGGAAAAAACAAGGATACAAGATTTAATTTTAAAATTTCTATTTCTTATGGATGTAAAATCATGTCTACTTTATCAAAAATCTATACAGTGAGTTCATAAAGTCCCGCATAAATTCATTATTTTGAAAACGGTAGAATTTTCGAAAAATCATTCAGACACGTCAATTTTGTTTTTTTGTTTGAAATTTTTTGATATATTTTTTATCATACAGGGTGTCTCAAAAATAGCTTCGCTGGTATCAACTTCATTTTTTTAAATGGTACCCCCTGTATATTATGACATTTCTGGATTCTACAGAAAATTCTAGACATATTTCATATACCATGTCATATACCTATCTTCAACTGTTTTGGAAATATTGACAGTTGAAAATTGACTTTTTTGCATTTTTGACAGACTCTAAAACCTGAACGGTTGATTTTACAGCAAAACCGACTTTACATTCCTATCTTAGTTTTTCATAAACTATCACTTGACACCAACTTTGAATTAAAGCGGAGATTAAATTTAACCGGAATTTTTAATTATGGATTAACTCCAAAGTTGATGTCAAATGATAGTTTATGAAAAACTAAGATAGGAATGTAAAATCGTTTTTGCTGTAAAATCAACCGTTCAGGTTAAAGAGTCTGTCAAAGATGCAAAAAAGTCAATTTTCAACTGTCAATATTTCCGAAACAGTTGAAGATAGGTATATGACATGGTACATGAAATATGTCTAGAATTTTCTGTAGAATCCAGAAATGTCATAATATATAGGGGGTACCATTCAAAAAAATGAAGATACCAGCGAAGCTATTTTTGAGACACCCTGTATGATAAAAAGTATATCAAAAAATTTCAAACAAAAAAACAAAATTGACGTGTCTGAATGATTTTTCAAAAATTCTACCGTTCTCAAAATAATAAATTTATGCGTGACTTTATGAACTCACTGTATAAGAAAATTTGTGCATCATTTTCTTACAAGCAATTTTAGGTCTCACGATTTCTCACGATTTTTCATTCTCGATTCTCACCAATTTTTTTTATTTCATCTGGCAACACCGGGTACCTACCTTATGATTTAGATTTTGAAAAAAGTCGCGTGCAGCACAGTACACGTGATAGAAGTGAATACTTCACAATACTCTCTTTCATTCACCATCTCTTTCTCTCTCTCTCCGTCATATTCATCATATGCTTCATCTCACTTGCGAGACGAAAATTTTATAAATCGTGTCGTGAGGCGACCTTGAAAAATCACTCTCATGCGGCCAAAGAAGTATTCACTTCAAAAATCATACTTTTGTCTCAAGAACATTAACCTCAAACAGTATATCATTCCAGTTTTAGGAGCAGTGTTGCCAGAATTCACGATTATTCGTAAGATTACACGATTTTGGTCAGAATTTCACGATATTGCGAATGAGGTAGCAATTCTTACGAATTCTCTTTGTACTGATACAAATCGGTAATTAAATATAACGTTCCACCGAAATAAAAATCGACTATACAATATTTACTTATGTTACGCCACTCCTGGTACCACGCCGCGCGCTCAAGAAAACTTAACCTAATAGGACTCTTATTAAGCTGAAAGTGTCTGCCATGCAGTCTCAGACCTCAACTCTTGGCGTAAAATGCATTATCCGAGTTTTAAAACACTATAGGTCAAAAAAACGAATTCCTTAACGTCAAAATCACCTTTTTTAAATTTGAAATCGACGAAAAAATTAACTCACAAGCACAAGCACAGCCTAAATAGCGAGGGGTGAATAGCTCTTGCAGTCGGTGTACATATTTCTCACAATCTTCACACAATCATTCACAATCTGTCACAATCGTTACACAATCTCACACAATCTGTCACAATCGTTATACAATCTCTCACAATTGTGTCACAATCTCTCACAATCATATCACAATCTCCCACAATCGTTGCACAATATCTCACAATCGTAACACAATCGCTACACAATATACCACCATCTGTTGCACTTGGGGTTCCTCCAAGGGCCGGTTTCTCAATAGAAACTCACCCCCAGGTTAAGCATAACTCCAGGGTAAACATTGCAACTGGACACACTTACCCTGGAGTTAAAACAAACCCGAAGGTGCCTCGCTATTGAGACACCGGCCCCAAATAGTTTAATTTACTTTATTTTTGCCCGTAATAATAGGCTCTTTTGATGAGCTAACTTTTGTATGCCACCTCCTGCAGCATAGATTTCTGAACTTCGTCGTACTGAATAGGGAAATACTAAGGGAAATACCCATAAACCATAAAACAAGCATAAATATCTGAGGAAATATCGGAGTATATCAAGAAGGACCTAGGTTTCTCTACTTTTTTGAGTTGACAATAAATTAACAATCTTTATTTAAAGAATTATCAATAAAAAGCCAAAAAGTTTCACATAAAAACCAAAAAGAATTCACCCTTAATCCAAGTTATATGGAAAAAAGGGAAACTACTATAAGTAAGGAAAACTTCTTTATGTTGGCTGTTTTCAGAAAAATATGGGAAATTACTGAGGGTGAGGGAGAAAGATGCCAAAAGAAGAGAAAACAAAACAAATAAACAAAATGAAAGAAGTAATAGAAAAATTGAGAAAAAAAATAGAGAGAAAAATAGTAAAAATTAAGAAAAAAATAAACTTAAAAAATACTGAAACTGCAAGAAAAGCTAATCTGCAAAAAGTACAAAATGTAGACTAATTGAGGATTGATGATGAAACATCATAATCTCGATCACAATCAACAAAGTCATTATCTAGCCTTCATGATTTAGAAGGTGGAGAGGAATATTTCAATGAAGCAGAAGAGCAGCTTGAAGAACTTGAAGTAGATTGGTAATATGCAGTTGCCTACTCTAACAAATACCACATTGGAAAATTGACAAAAGTATAGAATGTCAGATAACTTTTTTAGAAGTCTTTAGATGGCCTAAAAATCTAGACCTGGACCTTGTAGAAAAAATATATATTATATATGGTCCAATGTCCAATGTCCAATCTATTTTAAAAACTTGAGTCGCAAAAAATTAACAACATTTCCAAGGAAATAAAATCCTAATTTGAGTACTAACTAAAGTACTTATGTATCTATCTCACAACAATTTTTTTTTTATTCGTCATCATCTTCCTGTATCATTAATTAAAACTTTTATCTGTCACTACGTAAGATGATTTTTTCAAATTCAAACACCCGGTATATATTTAAAAAAATTCGATTCCATAGGGGGCGCAGAGAAAATTCATGTTTCAAGTGTGATGCACAACTTTCAAGAGCGGTTGAAGATGTGCGCCCACAAAGCAGGGTGACACTTGACTGACATTATTTTCCATCATTAATTTAAAAGCGCACTATTATTACTTCATTTAGCTGTAATTGAAAATTAAAAATGTTATGCTTGTAGGTACCTACGTGAAAAACATGCGTTTCCTCTGGGCCACCCTGTATAGGGTGTCCCATTTTGGTTGTACGTAAGGGATAACCCGGTTGCTATTAGAGTTATAGGAGGATGCGGTTTTTGTGAACGGTGGTTACTTTTTTACCAAACAAAAGATGCCGTCGACAGAATTGTCATTTTTGTTTTTCAGATACACGGTGCTCTTGAAAATGTTGCATTTTGGGACAGCCCTTGGTATCTCGGTTCTGAGTGATCAGATGACTCGGGTGACAATGGATTCTTATAGATCTTTTTATGTAGATTCCAGTGGCGTAGTCAGTTTTTCTCTGGAAGTGATAGTTTATGAGACCTTTATCATTTTCTTTATAGATTTAAAGTTTTTTTCAAACACATTGTTGTTTATAACAAAAACAGACATAATAGAGATAAGTAGACCTATCGAACTTTATATTATTGAAATCAGCAAATGCAGAACTATCCGATAAGTTTTAAACATACAGTGCGTCTCATTTGAAAAAAGTACCTATGTTTGGTACATAATTGAAAAACTCTAACTTCTAGAGAAAAACTGACTTCGCCATTGGAATCTCTGTCGAAAGATCTATAGGAACTCGTTAATTGCCACCTTTTGGAACACTTATGAGAGGATCGAGATAAAAAGGGTGTCCCAAAATGCAACATTCTCAAAAACACCTTGTAACTGAAGAACAAAAAGGGGGATGACAATTTTGTTGACGGCAACTTTCGTTTGACAAAAAAGTAGCCAACGTTCGCGAAAGCCGCATCCTTCTAACTTTAATAATAGCAACAGAGATATCCTTTATGTACCTACAACCAAAATAGGACACCCTGTACAACTTCTCAATCCGAGTAATGTGTAAAAGAGAGATAAAAATACTGAATATTCTTAACACATTAGGTCTGTTTCCACAGAAATCACAAACCAGTCAGAGCATTTTTGATTGGTCCAAATCGCCAACAACCAGTTTCCTGACTATTTTCAACCAATGAAATTCGCTTTGACTGGTTTGTGATTTCTGTGGAAATAGACCTATTGATTATGGTGATATTTTTTAATTTGTTAAAATTAGAGAGAAAATGTAGTTTTGATATTTTGTTGTTTTGTTCTAACCCAATTAATATACATAGTCTTTACACAATCATTCACAATCCTTACATAATCAGTCACAATCATTCACAATCGTACACAATCACTCACAATCTTAGCAAATTTCCTTAAAGATTGTGGAATTTGGCAGTCGGTGTACATATTTTGGGCCAGCTATTCACCCCTCGATAAATAGCAAGCAATCCATCGAGGTCTGCGGGTGACGTCACCACTATCGGCTGCGAATAGTGGTGACGTCACTCGCAGACCTGCTGCCGGCTCGACAATTAGCGAACGTACGCCTTATGAGCAATCTTGTGGATAGTGAATGTGAAAAGGATGCTTAGCAGCTTCCAGAAACACCTGCTAAAAAACCGGAAAATACAAAAATACAAGAGATTTAATGATAAAATGTTTGTACAATCATGTTTACTCTTATTAAAAATCTATAAAAGAACATTATTGTTGTGTTTCATCTTCTTATAACATTAAGGGCGGGTATTATAAAACTACTTTGAGAGTTAACTTAAAGTTAACTTCTGGAATTACATGTAATTCAAAAAGTTAACTGTCAAAGCAGTTTTATAATACCTGCCCTAAGCCAATTCTAGTCTCACGATTTCTCACGATTTTTCTTTCTCGATTCTCACGATTTTTTTAATTTCATCTGGCAATGCTGTTTTGGAGTTTAGTTTATAGCAACAACCATGTTATCGAAAGCACGGCGCACCCCATACAAAATTAAAATTATTATACTTTTGTCTTTTGTCTCTCTAGTTCCCCCATTCCCATATTTTTATGGGCCATTCCTTCGAAAAACCGTATCTTGCACAATGCGCCAAAACTAACCCAATCTGGCTTAATTTGGTTTACTTTAACTTAAACTGCCCCCCCCCCTTTTAAAAGGTCTGTATCCGCCCCTGAGAAAATACCTGCTAGGTAACAATACCAGGCATTTACCAGTCAGTCCATAATTTGGCCCTTACTGATTGTGTTCCATCTTTCTTTAATGAATATAATTGAAAAAAGACAAATTACAACAGCTGATGATCGGGTTAATCAGATCAGTGTTTCCGAAAAGGCCAACTGTATGCATAAATTGGTTTTTTTTAAAATTCTTTATACATATACCTAGTTTAAAACTTATCGAATAAATGTATGTGCAATAAGAAATCCATTACCGACGCTACTGATTGTTCGGGTATCTTCGGCATTTTGTCAGGAAACTTCACAATGGTAATTTTTTTGTCTATTCTTGGCTCTTTAATTTATCCAAATAAAGAAAATTCAAGAGCCTGGAATAGAACAAACATGAATGTCTTTTTATTTATTATATTTTTATCAATTTTTCTACCTTTTGTCTCTAGGTAATTTCCAGTTTTTCCGTCTCAATTTTTGTCTGTTACCGGCTCTTGAATTTTCTAAATGTGTTTCAATTTCTTTTGAATGTCTTTTCTTTATTTCCAGCTCTTGAATTTTTCGAAAAAAACATTTCAAGAGCCTGGAATAGAAAAAATATGAAGGTTCACTTATCTACCAGTGTTTTCTTAATTTTTCAATAAAACAAAACATTTCATAACTTTATTAAAACTCAAATTTCCCAAGTAAAAAAAAAATCACTTACCATTCATCAAATCACCTTTTATCCAAAATCAGGTCCCTCCTTGAAAAAAAAAAAACAAACTATTAATACGGCCCTGCCTGATAATATCATCCATATGCAACCGGCAGAACACCTTCATGTTTAACTGGTTGCCTATATCGGCAACAGCGTAGCAACATGCCCGCCAAAAATTTGAATTTCATTAAAGGTATTAGTATTTCTTTTTGTGCAAAATCGCCAAGAAAATAAAAAACAAATCATCATTTTGCAACATTATTATAAATCTTGTAACATTCTAATTGTGACTCTTTTGCTATTATTATTACACCCTAGTATATTCGTAATTTTCCTTTTACACAATCAATAATCAGTGTTTCATTAATCACAAAATTACAATTTTTGCATGATTCAATGTGTAATGGATTACGATTTTAGTGTTTACGTTATACATGGCAAAAGACAGGAAAATTTGATTCAATAGAGATTAGCCTGGGAGGTGATTACATTGTTTAAAGTCCAAATACAGTGGGTCTCTATAATGTAGAATTAATATGTAGGAAAAGGTTTCAGACTATTCAAAATTCTTCCTGTGATTTTCTAGCTAGCCTCTGGCATATCTAAACATCTTGGGTCAATCTTCTGTGTATTTTTTACAGCAATCAAATTTTTTAATGTAGTAAAAACTCCAGATGTCCATAATCCATACAGCTCAGGTCCATCTCGTTCAAATAGTTTTTAGATGCAATCCTAGAATTTCATAATCTACTACTATTCCAAATCCTTTGACTCTCATGTCAGATCTTCTTATGCTTATCAGAATAAAGTTCTGCTCGATGAGCACCAATTATACGAGACTTTTCAACAAAATCCATAGTAATAACGCTTACAATAACATCAAGAAGGATTTTTTCTGTAGGTCATAAAGCTTCTTTTTGCAGCAATGGATGTCTTCAAGATTCTGGGATATTTCTTGAGAAAATTTGCAGATTATCTGGTTTTTGCAGGTATACTGTATTGATGGCTTACTGGTTGGTATTTAAGGAAAAAACTGTGATATGACAGGAACACAATGATTTTAATATCAACCAAGGATCAGACCACTCAAGATCAGAATCAGTATAATATTCTTATACTTCAGATTTTCCAGATTTTTATTGAAATCTTTACGCATGTCGCTGCAGGTTTTAGGGAGGAAAAGTGTGGCTTCTTGCTTGCTGATCATGCTCAAAAAATTATTTTTCCAAAAATTCAACCAAAACATTATTTATTGCGAATCACTTTCATGAAGTTGAGACAACTTCAATGTAACTAAGACCTATATTATAATTCTTATTTTAACAACAAACTTACATATTATATACTAAAAACTATTTTTCAGTAACCACCTCCCAGGCACATCAAACATGTCTCGTTAAATAAACCAGTATAAGTAACACCAAAATAAAAAAAGTAGGTAATATATTTTTATTATTAATTCTATATAGAAATGCAATTATTTTGACGAAAAAGTATTCGTCAAGAAAAAAAAATAACACCACTAAAAGCCTGCTTACATTCACAATGCATCATCATTAAATTAAAAAAATAATAAACAATTAAATCGAGAAATGACACAATTTCAACAATAAAATAACTTGTTGGAAGCTAAGAAAAAAATCCAAAGATGGGTACCTAAATTTAAAGAAAAAAACAAGCAAAAAACCGATCAATTATAAATATTTACAAAAAAACGTGTGGATTTCCATTGCTAAAACCCACCCCTATTAAACTTGCCTCTGAATTTACCTCTTCGTTGGTACGGAGAAGTGTTCGATCCTCTGGCGCCCCACGGTCCGCCTCTGTTGTTCCAGCCGCCTCTGCCCCTGCCCCTGCTCCTAAAACCGCTATCGTTGCCCCTGAAATTATTATTATTCATACCGCCGCGATTAACAAAACCTCCAGCAAAAGATGGTGGTTCTTCTTCATCTTCATTCAAATATGGATTTTCATCGTTTGGTATATTGGGAACATTTGCCCAAGGCATTGGTGGCGGGCCGTTAATTGTAGGCAGCGGAAGAAGTGGACCCATCTAATAAAAACAATTAATAATTTTGCAAAGAAGTCCCAAAAAAATTCGTACCCTGTTTGAATTTGGCATAAAACCGCCCATTAGACTTGGAGATAGAGAACCAAAAGTTGGGGGCGGCATGAGCGGGTGCCACGTCGTGTTTTCATCTGAGGCTTGCGAATTGGAATTTTCATTCAAACACGGCGACAAAGTCTCAAACTCGTTTAGTTGATTTGAAATTTCGTCTAAAAACTCATTGGCACCCACATCATCCAAGAGATCTGGTAAAGGAGGAGGTGGTTCTAGAGTAAATTCTGATGCTAAAAATATTAAAATTAGCAGTGTAATTTTTTAGGATTACAAATTATACCTTTAAATAAACCAGCTTCTAAATCGTCACTTAAATCCATATCAATTTCGACGCTACTGTTGTCAACTTTTTTAGGACTTGCATACCGCAATCTCGGATCGCCAGGCGTTCCAGGTGCAGGTAAAGGTGGCGGAGGCGGCGGTTTGCGTCTCGCCGGAGATTTTGGTGGAGGTGGAGGCGGTGGAGGTGGATCCACATTGAAGGGCACTCGATAATCTTGATCTTTGTTGGGCAGTTTCATGGGCGGCGGCACTCTATAGTCTTGATCTAATTTTTCCCAAGTTGTGTCTTGGGTGGGGATCAGTTTCAGGTTGCTTCTAGTGGATTGATTGGCGCTGCCGCCGTTAACTGGCGGTGAACAAGTTAAACTGATTAGGTTTCTGTGGTCTACGTCTTTGCCGCCAAGGCTGCTAAGAGAGTCTTCTGAAATTTTATTGACTAACAATTAACAATTCAAAAGAGAGTTTGCTGATATCAATTATGCTTTAACTTTTACAAAGAATTCAGAAGAAATACACTGAAAATTTTAAAATTCATACCTAAATCTCCTAAACCAGGTATATTCCTTTGATGATTATCCATTGCACTACTTGATAATGAAGAATCATGGTATGTTACTGGATCAGCGTAACCTTGCAATGTAAATGTTAATTATTTATTATACTGGAAATATTACTGAGAAAAATCCAATCATCAATAATCACTTGATAATATGTAAATTTTTGTTATAATGAAACAAATGCATGATTTAATTGAAATTGATGATAATCAAGGGGCAAACCACCTAAGAATTCTTTGCCAAAATTGTGGGGAATTTAGAGGAATTTGTGGGGAATCTATGGGGTAACAGACATTTATGAGCAGTTTGGAGGCATTTTTGGAGACTTTGGAGCAATTTGCAAGAAGTTTAAGGAATTGTTTGCGCAAAAGTTCGGGGGAGGGGATGATTTATTCCATGGATTTTGTTCACCTTGGTAAAAATCAAAGTGAAAAAAACTTTGAAGGTTGAACAGCCAAAAACTTTTCAAGCTGCATTGAAATTATTCACTTAGGATTTAATTAGCTTTATTTTAAGCCTGATTATGTGAATATTTGATTGAAATTAACAAATATGTGAGGTAAAATGTAATTCGATATCATTTTGGAAAAAATCAAGGTTCAAACTGTTTGAAATATTGGCTCGAAATTTGGCAAGTGGATGAAGACTGGATTGAAATTTAAGAAAACAAATAAAAATTTGCTTTTACACGCTCACCTGGATAAAAATCAAAGCCACAAGACTTTGAAACTGTGCAGCTGCGAAAATATTGAAGCTGCATTGAAATTATTCATTAGAGATTTGTAGTAAATTTAATTAGCTTTAATTTAAGTCCAATTACGTTAAAATCGGATTGAAATTAACAAAGTTGTGAGGCAAAATGTGTATTGATGTCATTTTGGAAAAAGTCAAGTTTCCCAAAAACAACATTGAAGTACAGGGTGATCTATTATAAATGTCACCACCTGCTAACTTTTTCATTTGACGTTTTTGACAGAAGTGCCAAATACAAAAGTATTAAGAAATTGTAAAAAGTTTTTAATAGACCGATCTCCTATTACCTGGACTGCGCGCGTCCCTTGTAGGCTGCAGGTGAACGTCCAATGAGAAACAAGTTTGTTACAGGCTTGCGTCATATTCGTATTCAGGGGCCAGTTCACAATGAATCGTTCCTTCTTTCTTTGTAATGTGTAATTCGACAAAGAGCAAACTAATACTATGCATATTACTTGAACTCATCACAGTGTCATTTAAGGTTATGTTTGATTATACTTGACATATTCCATTGCAATTTCATTGTGCGATGTTGCCGGATGAAACATTTATCAAAATAAAAGTGCAAACGATGTTAACGTACACTTTTGAAGCTCTTCTTGTGTCTGATTTCAGGCGTGGTAAAACACTTGACACTATATCACTTCTTTAATATTATAATCTTCGATTTGTATTGTCTACATTTGTTCTGCAACAATACAATATGGCTACACTGCAGCCTACGAGTTGCGCGCGCATGTCATCTTTTATTACTTTTTAAATTGTATTTATTACAATTAAGCTCTCTTTTTCTATTTATGCGAGACAGGTCTATTAAGTGAGTTTTAGGCATACAGGGTGCGTCAAAAAAGTGCAGCAGTGTGAAGTTATATTCTTTTAAATGGAACACCCTGTATACTGTGCGCTTATTTGTTAGTCCGCTTTAACCTGATTTCAACGATATACGATTTTATTTGTTCATCTCTTGGTTTATCTTCAATAGTTATAGGGAAAAACGCGAAAATCTCTTCGTAGGTCTCTCATGTTATTTTATTTTTGAATAATAATTATTACTTAAACATCTGGATTTATCATGATATTTCACCTTGTATACAGGGTGTCCCACGGTGGATGGCGTATTAGATGTTTATGGAGAACTAAAAAGCGGATCATATTAAAAATTTGGCAACCGAGATAAACGACCATGATCTACACTTTAAAAATATTTTTGTTTATGCGGTGTTGACGCTTCTACTCTAAGCCAGTGGCAACATCGCTATTTTTAATAGAACACCCTGTATGTGATTGCATATTTGGATTCTACGTAAAATTCTGAGCAGATATCATGTGATATACCCTATACCTAAGTTCAACTGTTTTGGAAATATTGACAGTTGAAAATTGCTTTTTTGCAACTTTGACAGGCTGTAAAACCAGAACGGTTGATTTTAGAGAAAAACCGATTTTACATTGCTATCTTAGATTTTCATGAACTATCATTTGACACCAACTTTGAATTAAACCGGAGATTAAATTTAATTGGAATTTTCAATCATGGTATAGGTATAGGGTATATGACATGAAATCTGCTCAGAATTTTACGTAGAATCCAAATATGCAATCAAATACAGGGTGTTCCATTTAAAATAGCGATGTTGCCACTGGTTTAGAGTAGAAGCGGCAACACCGCATCAACAAAAATATTTTTAAAGTGTAGATTATGATCGTTTATCCCGGTTGCCAAATTTTCAAAATGATCCGCGTTTTAGTTTTCCATTAACGTCTAATACGCCATCCACTGTGGGACACCCTGTATTAATGAATAAAATTTGAACAATAAAATATTTTTAAAAGAAAATTTTCTAAAGCTTAAATGGTATAATTTTTCTTTTTTCAATATGAAACCTTGAAAAGGGTTTTCATGTTTAACATATCGAATCCTATATCGTTGAAATCAGGTTAAAAGGAACTAACAAATAGGCGCACAATATATAGAGTGACGCACCCTGTATGCCTAAAACTGACGTACTTAGTTAAAAACTTTCGACAATTTCTTGAAACTTTTTTTATTTGTCACTTTTGTCAAAAATGTCAAATATAAAAGTTAGAAGAGGGTGACATTTATAATAGATCACCCTGTACATCTTATTTTTTTGTGAAAGAAATGTTGGAGAGATTTAATTGAAATTTTGCAAGTGGATTAAAAAAGGATTGAAATTAGAGAAAAAAATAAAATAAAATTTCATTTTGCTTGCTCACCTTGAGAAAAATCAAAGTTAAAAGACTTTGAAGCTTCGCAGCTGCAAAACTATTGAATCTGCAGTAAAACTACCCAAAAGACATTTGTAGAGAATTTAATTGGCTTTAATTAAAGCCTAATTACGTTGAAATCAGATCGAAATTACCAAAGTTGTGAGGCAAAATGTATTCACCTTTAAGTAGCAAACCACCTAGGAATACTTTGTGAAAACTGTGGGGAATTTAGAGGAATTTGTGGGGAAGTTGGAGGAATATGTAGGGAACTTGAAGGAATTTATGGGAAATTGGAGGAATATTTGACAAATTGAAGAAATTTATTGGTTTTAACACTGAGCATAATAAAAATAGAAAAATACATTTGTTATCATGAACAATTTTGGGAATTCTTATGGAATTTGTAACAGGCATTTGCAGGGAATTTGCAAGCAATTTGGAGGAATTTGCAGGGAATTTGGAGAAATTTGTGGGGAATTTGCGGTTCACCCCTAGATTTTTTAAATAAAATAGTAATACTGACTACATGGCTGGTTAATTTAAATAATTCTTGGGATGTTAGAATTAAGCTTAGGAAACATAAAAATTGAATTAAGCAACCATAATCATTATTAAGTACCAATTTAAAAAATATATACAGTGTGTCCCGCTTTTCATGAATACATCCCGAGATCTCAGTTATTAATAATGCGATTTTATTCAAATTTTGGTGAAGATTGTATGTTAGAAAAATGAACTGTGATAACCAAATTACTAATGACATTATTTTAGAATATTTTGTATTTTCAATATAACAACCCCCTAATTAGAAAGAAACAGCCTTTTAAAAAAATAAATTAAAATAATTATTTTTTTTTTGCTAAAATCATCCCTTGAAATATATGAATTAAGGGGTTTTCGGGGATGCTGATTCTTAATCTGATGCAAAAAATTATCTAAATTAAGTCCTAATATCTTTTTGCCAAAAAACCAATACCTTTTCACCCCCCAACATCGCACGCCAATGGTAAACAAAAATGTTTACTATGTCAAATAGTTCATTTTCCTAACATACAATCACCTCCGAAAATTTGAATAAAATCGCATTATTAATAACTGAGATATCGAGGTGTATTCATGAAAAGTGGGACACACTGTATATAAAAATGATTTATTTATATTTCCCACATTATCAAATGTATTTTTATATGAACCATTCTCTCACCTTCTTTCTCGAACATAGGCGGACTTTCAGGTGTATCACTATCCTTGACTTTATTCCAAGACTGATTCAATTCTTCCCAGGCACCGGAAGCCACCATTGGGTCATAACTCTCAGAATTCTGATTATTATAAGTGTACTGATCTGAGTTGCTAGCCTCTGTCGAATAGTTTTCTGAGTAGGCAGGATAGGCTGGATCTGAAACAAATTTCATTATACATATATTTTATACTTATATATTCGATTTTACCATAAGCTCCAGGTGTGTTGTTATCCAAACTGCTATTGAAACTAAATCCAGATTCATTATTTTTTGAAAATGGAGGCATTGGCGGGGGTAATAAAGGATTATAAGCTGCAGGAGGAGGATTTTCTCTAAAACAAAATACAAAAATAATATTTTAAATAATTAGTGAGTAAAAAAACTTACGTATCGCCAGTCAAATCAACTATAGCAGATTGAACAGCTGGAGGGGGTGGAGGTGGTGGAGCACTTATATTATTATTTGTGTAACTACTTTGTGTATTAGTAGTTTCGTCTAGATTTGGAAATAAACCTGTAGTGCTAATGTTCTAAAAAAAAAAAAAATAAACACTAAAATAATTATTTGATTATAATATTATTATACTTACTCCTACATCAAAAGACAAATTCTGTCCTAGAAAACTATTAAAACCATTAGACAAAAAACTTGTACTTGTATCAGCACTAGAATTAGCCGAATTATTGAAGTTATTAGTAAAAGTAGAACTAGATTTTGTATTATTCACTGTATTAATTGTAGGTGGTGGTACGTAATAGCCGGGATTTGAAAATTGTATATTTGATATATCAATAGTTTTATCTAAAAAAATAATTTATTAACAATAAAGAAAAAAACACCAAAGCTTTGACAATCTACCTATTGATACTGCACTTTCTTCTGGCAAATCCAAGTCTTCTTCAGGACTTGGAGATGGTGCATTTATATCTGGAGAAGGTACTGGACTAGGTAGAGTTTTCAAACGTTCTTCCAGTTTTGTTTTACAAATTTTTACCCGTGCCGCATAAGTTTTATAGGCCTATAAATTAATAGTATAATAAAAATTACTTATAAATAAGTTAAATTCTTACATGTGCTACAATTTTTACATCATGCTTGTCTTTCTCCAAGTGCGTTTCTGCCACTCTTAATGTGGAAATTAATGATATCCGATGTTTGACTTCAGATTTTAGGGCATTAATGTAACTTTCTAAATGTTCTACGTAATTGTCCACTTCTTTTTCAACATCATCTACATGAGCACGGTCTGGAAATAATAATATTTTGTAGCACTTTTTTAAAAAAATTCATATATATATACCTTTTAATGAATTTATCAAGCCCTCAGAAATTATAATTTTGGGATTGTGTTCTTTGAGGGCCTTCAATTTGGTGTCGGTGATTTTTTCTAGATTCGCGCAAGTCTTCACTTTGTTTATCACATGATTAGCTTGGAATTCGTGGGGTTCGTCCGTTCTGGGTCCGGTCGGTTGTATGTTCAGCAACCCGAACAGATCGGCGATAAATTCTTCACTGTACACTCCTCTTTGTTTCCAAATTTGGAATATTCTTATGATTTTGTGTTTGATTTTTTCGTCTCTGAATAAGAATAATAGGGATTTTTTTGTGGTACAACTTTGAGGCTTCATTGCGCGAAAAGTATTTGAGCTATCAGAACTAATTCAGGATGGATTTATAGAGAATTTAATGCTCTTTCTAGTGATACATAATTTATTTCAATTTGCTCTAATTTTAATGACGATATGAGCAATTGTTCCTAACCTTGTTATGATTTTGTCAACCCTAGTAAAAATTGGAAAAAAAAAAATTAATCAAATGAGGTTTTAATTTATAAAATCTTTTAGAATACTATTAATTTGGAAAAAAACTATTTGAATCCCAACTGCTGTCTTTTAGATAACACAGAAAACTTCATTTATTCAAATTCCTCAAAAATTCTTCTAAATTCCCTACAGATTCCTCATACAAATCTTTTGAAAATCCCTGTTTTTATTATGCTCAGTGTTAAAACCTATAAATTTGCTAAAGGACCCCGTAATATTTAAACGGAAATTGGTTACCCGTGATATTTGGATGAAATTTAAATATGTTATTGCAAATGCTGTAAGCAACATTTTTTACCATGGGCGCAACCTTGTAGGTATATATGACAGGTGAGGCGGTATCGGCTGTCAAATATTGGGATTTCATATTCAAAAGCAGGGTAACTATGGCAGATTTTTATGAAGGAAGTATCGATTTCTACTAAGTCGACCAAGGTAAATCTTAAAATGTCAACCATTTTGAAATCTGTCAAACAAAACCCTGCCAAACGGCAGCACTCATAATTTTCAGTTTTCAATATTTCATGTTGTCTCATTTGACAGTTTTAGCTTATGTCAATTCTGAGTTGAAAAATTGGAAAAAAAAATTACAGAACTGTCAAAACCTGTCATTTATTTTAGTAGGAAAAAATATTCATATCTTTTTTTTTTCGTTAAACATTAAGCAAAGCTCATAGATATCAAATTTTGACAGCTGTCAAAATTTAAAACCTGTGTATAAAGTTTTTTTAAGCTTCATAATCAATAAGCATAACTTAAGTAATTGGAACAGAACTAGAGTTCAGTTTTTTTTCAAATAAAGCTGATGTCAGATTCTGACAGCTGTCAAAATTTGATGTCAATGCGCTTTGTTTAATGTTTTATCACCAATAAGCTACCTTCAAACAAAAAAGAGCCAAATTGGATTTTTTTTTTACTAAAACAAATGACAGGTTTTGACAGTTCTGTAATTTTTTTTTTTAATTTTTGAACTCAGAATTCACATAAACCCTTTTCACGTGGCTCCGGTTTAACAAACCGCAACATACCGCTCAAATTCGAGTGGTAGGTATCCATCACGTCACTTTGTAACCCGGTTAGAAAACGGTATGTCATTTCTCTAACCGTTTTGTAACCCGGTTAGTTAAACCGGAGCCACGTGAAAAGAACTATAGGTTGAAAGTGTCAAATGACAAATCATGAAATATTGAAAACTGAAAAATATGAGTGCTGCCGTTTGGCAGGATTTTGAGAGATGTCAAAATGGTTGACATTTTTCGTTTTCCTTGGTTGACTTCGAGGTTGACTTATTAGGCATCGATACTTGCTTCATCAAAATCTACCACAGTTACCCTGCATTTGAATATTAGATTCCTATATTTGAAATCAATATTTGACAGCTGATACCGCCTCACCTGTCATATATACTGGGTGCCCACGGGATCACTTTCCGGCTGCCATTTTTTTATTTGCTTATCGATATCAATGAAATTTGGTAGGGTTGATATTTTAACCAAACGCCATTTTTATGCATTTATGACAAGTTTTCCTGACTTCTGGTTTCACCGGAAATGACCAAAATTTTTGATTTTCAAATGGCACACCCTGTATATTTTTTGTTTTTTGGTTTCTACAGATCGTTTTACGTCCCAATGTAACACTTTTAAATCGAGTTTTGTCCAAGTTTTTGAATTTCAAGTAGAAAAAAAAAATTACCTACATAATAAAACAAAAATATTTGAATGAAAATTAAGAAAAATGTCGTAGTGTATTATATCGTTGGATTCGCTTTGAAATACTGCATTTAGTAATGTTATGAAAGTGATATGTTTCTATTCTAGTTTTTGAGCTAGGGCAAAAATACTAAAATAATGAAGTTTACAGCCCTCTATCAAAAAACTTTACAAAGATAAAATTGAGTTTGTATTTTTCTGAAATTGAGTAAAGTATGTAGAGTCATTTTAGAATGATCATGGCACTCTAGTTAAAAAAATAAAATTTAATTTAAAAACAAAAATTAGACAAAACTCGATTCAAAATTGGTGCATCAAGACGTAAAACGATCTGTAAAATCCGAAAAACAAAAAATATACAGGGTGTGCCATTTAAAAATCAAAAGTTCCGGTCATTTCCGGTGAAACCGGAAGTCAGGAAAACTTGTCATAAATGCATAAAAATGGCATTTGGTTAGAAAATCAACCCTACCAAGTTTCGTTGATATTGATAAACAAATAAAAAAATGGCAGTCGGAAAGTAATCTCGTGGGCACCCGGTATAAGGTTGCGCCCATGGTAAAAAATGTTGCTTACGGCATCCCCAATAACATATTTAAATTTCATCCAAATATCACGGGTAACCAATTTCCGTTTAAATATTGCGAGGTCCTTTCTCAAACATTTTTTCAATTTCCTGTGCAATTTCTCATAAATTCTTTCAAATTTCCCACAAATTCTTTCAAATTCCTCACAGTTTGGTTAGATGGTTCCTAGTTTTTGGGTATTTTTTTAAATATTTTTCCTTCAAAACTGGTGTTCTAAACTTTTTCAGGAACAGTTGATGAGCTGAATTTTTCAAGAAATATATACCTTTGGAAAATGCTTTTTCCAAAGTGTCATAAGATATCATCAGATTTGTACACCTTCCTACAGTAACCACATATTTTTAAGGAGCTGCAGATCCTGTACAAATCTTGTAGGTTTTATAGAATCCAAAATTCATATACAGAGTGGTTTCGAAACTATTTGAAGGAAATCGGTGTACAAATTCCTGGGAATACTTGGAAATAGCTATAAATACTTGGAAGTATCTAGAAATACTTTGGAAATACCTAGAAATGCTTAGAAATACTTGGTAATATTTGGGAATACTTCGAGGAATACCTAGAAATACTTTGAAATACTTGGTAATACGTACCGAATGATGTGAGAAAACAGTTTGTTTCTGAGCTTCCTGAGCGCTGCTTCTTCTCATAAATTAAATAAGTACTTTTTTTGAATTTTTATAGTGCCAGTTTGATTTATTTGATTGTGAAAACCTTGGATTATTCAAAAAAGAAGTCAAAAAGCAGTAATAACAAGGATAATAAAGAATCTTGTATTACCATTGAATTAAATGATGGTCGAAGTATATTGGTAAGAAAGTCTGCATTATGTTGGTTTTTTAATGCTAATAATAGCAGACTTTCTACTGACCGCATTTATAGAGTTTAAGGGATGAGAAACCACAAAAAGTCAAAATCCAGAAAAACTCTTTTCTCTAGAGTTTCTAGCGAATCTTTGATTAAATCTTGTAAAAGCATTAAAATTCCTCACAAAAGAATTTCTTACATTGAAAAGTTATATCTCTTCTAATTCAACATCGTGTTTTGATTCTGAGGACTTTTCTTCAAATATTATGCCATTTATTTTGATGAAAATTGGTATGAAAGCAAACTTTTGAGAATGACTAACAAATCTTGTGACATATAATTTTTAAAAAGAAATTTAGACAATTTTGAATGGCCTATGAATAAGTTTTTTTTTTTTGGCCTTATCAGCCCATTCCAAGTTTTGTTGGTATCTACCTAGAGGTATTTCGAGTTTCCTCTGCTTTCAGTAAGTATACCTTGACAAATCAATGCAGTGGTGACAAAGTGAAATTCAGCCTATTGTTAAAATTAAATTAGCTAGTAGGTAAAACTTTGAAATGTTAAAAGAATACTTGGAAATACTTAGAAATACTAAGAAATAGTACTCAGAAATACTTTGAAATACTAGGGAATATTTGGAAATACTACTTAAAAATATTTGAAAATACATGGAAATACCGTGAAATGTTAAGAAAAATGGAAATCGGTGTACAAATTTTGGCAGGTGAAAAGCCCTTCGGAAAATACATCAGACTAAAACGGATCTAGTTGGTTGATCTACATAGAAAAAGACCCAGAGAGCTAAGCAAAAATATTCTTTTACTTTGTTGAAGTCATGCATGAAATGCTGTATAGACTTTTTGAAGTGCTCTGTGGACCTGTAACCTGTTTAATCTTGTTGCAATACTGCATGGTCCTGTTGAAATACTGTACAGTTCTTTTGAAGTGCAGTGTGTTCCTGTTGGAGTACTCCATAGACTTGCATAGTCCTATTCAAGTCCAATTTGTACACCTATTGTGGACACCTAGAAACCCCTTGGCTTTTCCTAGTGGAAATTTCAAATTTTCCTGTACATTTTATATTGAGTTTCAATAATACCTATAAGGATAAAGTAACATTGACTATTATTTGATGATAGATAAGTAATGACTGTTGAATTTTTATAAGAATAGTAGGTGTAGGTACAATATTTTGGTTATTTAAATCAAAATTGAAAGCCATATAAAATCAAATATAATACATTAGACTCACCTAACCAAAGTCGTCCCTTTCTGTATTGCAGTCCCAAAAGTTTCAAGGAATTCATAGTTTTTCCTCTTCGAATACTGTACAACATCGTTGGCCAAATAAAACAAAGTGAGTCTCTGTTCGAATTTCACTCTTTTCAAGACATTCAACCAGGAACTGACGATTTTCTTGTAGTGCACCCTGTTGACCAAGCACCACTTGCACGATTTGTTGATGGCATCTTGCCTGTCTCGTAGGTTGAACAGGAATTTTTCGAATTGTATTGGAGAGAATTCGGCCACCTCTGTGGGGTCGTTAATATCGATTTCCATGATTTTCTCAGCCTTATTTTTTTCACTCATATTTGTTTATTATATGTTTCATTTTTTATACAATTATTAGGAAAAAAATTGTGTTTGCAAACAACTCTTTGGTTTTTTTTAACTGTATGATCAATGTTGTATTATTCAA